TGACCCAACATAAGGAGAATCATATAACTTCAATAATAATAATTTCAATTACTGTAGTAATTATAAAATTTTCGATTAATCAATAAAAAAAAAAATATAAAAAAATGGTTGCCTACCTTCGGTAGTGAGGAAGCAATATGGCATTTTCTGAAGAGAAAGCAGTAAATGTTTAAAACTCTATGATTTTTTTTTTATTTTGTCTGCGATTCAGAAATTGTTCAAATAAATGTGGATATTATCAATCGAAAATTCTGTACTTTTTTAGTTATCGTCAAATAAAATATTGAATTCATCGTAACATTTTTCAGCCTGTTTTCGGGAAAGTATGTAATACACATAAATTAAAAGGGTTTCAAGGGGAAGACTTTAGCCAAGTTTCGTTAAAATCGGTAAAGCCGTTTTGGCGCTACAGTTTATAGCTACACATTTTTTTGTGGCTTTGAACAGAAAAACATTTACATTTTTATTTTTTTTACATGTATAAAATTATCGTAAGACAGAAGTAAGCCAGAAACCTTCCCAAGAGATGCGGAACAACTTCCGAAAGTTTCATGGCGATCGGATGAATGGTTTAGTAATGCACAAAGGACAAACAGACAGACAGACATACATTCATTTTTATATGTATAGATTATATTTCAATCGATTTGTTTTTGTGTAAAATAAGAAAAACATATTGCTAATTGTATTAAACGAAGTATAAGCTATAATAAATTACAAAAACCCATGGACACTTCCAATAAAGTAGGCCAAATAAAATTTTTCAAGAAAAAACAATTCAGATTCGTTTTTAGGGTCCACTAAAACTCTTAGTTTGTCTTTAAAACAAAAAATATAAATTTTTGGAAGTAATCTATGGTAGGATTTTTATTCATGCCGTTTACAAAAATATTCACAACTCCTCAGGTTTTTCTTCTTAGTCAACGTTATTACAACTTTTGGAAAGCTGAATTATTATTCTTCAAAACTATATCGACAACTTTTAGATTTTTCGCCTTTATAAGAAACAAATAAATGAAAACTCCCCAAACGTTTTTATTTTTTATCTCCAAGTCTAATTTATTTTTGGGATTCTGGTTTGTGTCATTTTGTGTATATTATTGACCCCCAAATTATTGTCGAAGTTATCACAACTTTTGTGATTTAAAATAAAAAATTAAGGCTTAGACTAGACGAAAATTTTGAGCAAATAATTTTTATTTTTCGATTGGTATGAAAATTCGTATTTAACGGTTTTTCGCCGAACGAAATACAAATCTCAACTTCATTCCTCCTTAAAAAAAGATTTGAAACCACTTTACTCCTTAAATTAGTTATATTTGTTTCAATATTGAACCTATACTATATCTGTATGCCAAATATATATTTTTTTCTAAATAAATATTTAAAAAAAGGGGTATCAAAAGTAATATTGTATGCACAAAATATAGTACTTTATCGATATTCAACACGAAAATAAGAATAAAGCATGTATTGTATATATTATATGTATCAGTATTCGTCTGATAAAACACTATTTTTAAACAGTTATACTTTATTTAAAATTACACACCAGAATTGCTTACAAAGATAACCTATTACTGTAATTTTTTGTTCGTATCAAGGAATAAATAACCCCATTCCTGAAAAAAATATAATAAAAATTATAAAATACTTTTTAATCGCCTAAATTAGTGGATAATCATGTTAGGTCCCAAATTATAGCTTGAACATTGGTGGAGGGGGTAACATTCTGTTGCAGTTATGTAACATGAATAAGATCCCTCCAGTTCGTAACGTGTAGAGGCTGCTGTACCCCATTCAGTTCTGCTAAGACCTAGGTTCGTAGCAAAATTTAAATAAAGAATTTCTTATGTAATCATTGTTACGTAACAGTTCAAGTTCCTTCCAGAAAGGCAATACTGATATGCGCGAACTTTCATTGGACAGAATCAATGCAGCTTAATAGGATTGCAATCATGAAATATCGCTATTTTATTTCTATTTGTCAATGATCAAGGAATTTAGAATACCACTTCAGCAGTTAATTTAATTAAATTTACAATTGGAAGTATTAATTTTCGAGTGTTAAGATAATGAACTAAATAAGAGTATTTTCTAAACACTAGCGATATTTTAATGATTTTTATAAATCTAAATTTAAACTAGGCTTTTATTCTTAGTTCAGTTCAAAATTTATTGAAAAATGTATTATGTTTATTATTTTAACGTTCTACACACATTGTCTACTTAAGTTCTACTCTACTGTTTAATATATATATATATATATATATATATATATATATATTTCATTGTTATATATTTTTTTCAGTGAGTAATCTTAGCTAAATACTACAATCTATATATATATATATACAATATAATTTAGTATATATATATATATATATATATATATATCATCTACTAAGTGTAAGTATGAGTCAATAAAAATATATAAAAATTTATCTCTGAAAGTTATGTTATCATTAATGTTACTGTAATCAAAGTTTTTTTTGTTATTCATTTATTTATTATTTATCTTTGACAGGCCTTCAAGAGTCATTGTAACGTTATTTTATATAGTTTCTTTCTTTTTCTTCTTGAGTAATTACCGTCAATAAAAACAAATTTAAAAAATCCAAGTCCCACCAAAAAATTAAATCTTGGGTCGATTACTGGTTCATGATGTCCTAAATTTAGTTATTAATGATCAGGATTTAATATCGTGATGTATTCCATTCATCGGAGATTAAATTTCTTCCATGGATTCGTTAAGAACACTAGTTGAACTCTTCAGAACGTACTCAAACGTGTGCAAAACGCTTCAGGTATATATGTCTATTAGGCAAAAATCTTTTGATTTCGTAATCTTATAGGCGATTTTGTGTTCTTATTATGTATATAACTCACATTAAAGGTAATTAATTAATGACATTCAGAGATTAAAGCAAAGAAAAAAAAGTTTTGTTGGCTGAACTGCATCACTTGACGCTATGGATCAACTTCCAATTTTACAACAAGCTGAAGCTATAAGATGCGATATTCCCCTTTTTATTGAAAGTAAGCCGAATTATACTATTAATGTTAGAATCAGACTCCTCTACATGCAACAGTCAACATAGGGAATAAAATAAAATATTGAGGTATCCAATCGCTCTTTACACTAAGGTCAACTATTTTTCTCTATGTTTATTGTGATAACTCTGTTTAAAAAATAACCATCAAAGTAGCGTTCAGACGCTGCCGAACTATACTAAAAAGGGGTGGGGACAGTGGTTTACCTATTAAATCACTTTTTTTTTTTTTGTGATTCTACATATAAGAATATTGGAATCGTTCGTATTCAATCATTCGTTTCAATGGACGATAGGAACCGAGAAAAAACAAGTATTATAGTTTTAATAATTATTTTATTGATTTTGCCTTTGATCATTGATTATCATACATCGATACAAAAGTCTTCAAGGTTATTTTATATCAATCGACTTTTTTAATGATAATTTTTTTTTTTATTAAAATTAGTATTTTGCACTTAGGAAATCTGTATTCTTCCAGGTTGGTATAATATTAAAAAGTATTCGTCTTAAAAGGTGGGATGTACCAGTTCGTAGTGAAATTAAGTGTTTGACCAAATGGGTTCATGTAAGTCATTCCCTGGTGGAAGTTTTTATAGTATTGCACGGGCGGATCTACGGGGGTAACTTTGGGGCTGAAGCCCTCCCCCCAAAAATGGTAAAGTATAACCATTTTTTATGAAAAAAATATTAAAAAATTATTTCTTAAAGTATAATTGTTCGTGTAATTACATTTAAAAGGACTTTAGGAATCACTTAAACACCATTTCATAAAGGTAGTTACTTTCTTTCTTTTTTTCCAAAGTAATTAACGTTATTTTTAAGAAAAAAAAAGCTTTTGGGCTGAAGCCCCCCTCCCCAAAAATTAAATCCTGGATCCGCTAGTGTAGTATTGTGTTACATTATCTGAATCCTTTTGAATGTCTATGTTCTTTTGTAACAAGTCATTTTTCACATAGAAAGGTGCATCTCATGAACTTTTGAATGAACAGTTGAAATTTTGAGGATGTTAGACTTTTTCACTGCACCCTCATTGCCCTATCCCATAACTACATAAAGACTTTTTATGTAAATTGTAGATAGTATGTTTGTTAGTTTAGGATGATTTGGAGCGTCTGTCAAGTAACCTAGATAATAGTTCAAATCATTTGTTCAGTTTTTTTTTTTTTTTTTTTGTGTAGTATGAGTTCTCTATGTCATCCTTTTGTCCAGGTAAAGTCCTAAATAATGCACTTCTTCTGATATAGGGATAGGAACATTAAAAATGAAAACTTGTAGGCATATAACATGATTTATTGTAAAGACAATTAATACACTTTTCGTTTCTTTAATGTTTACTTTCCACCTCATAGCATAATTAAAAATATAATCAAGATGGTCCTTTAAGTAAAGAGATGGATGATTGGGTTTTTGTGAGTTGTAAGTAGTGCAGTATTGTCAGCAAATGTTGTTAAAGTCTGGTCCTGACTGATAAGTCTGCTGTGAAAATATTGAAAAAGTGGTCTCAGTAAACTGCTTTGGGGAAATTCTGTCCTAACACTTCTTATTGTGGGTAACTCGTTGCCTTTTTATACTTTAAAGTATCTGTCAAGTAAGAATGTAATATTGAATAGTAAGTCTAAGGAAGCGAGAGTTTAATCTTTGAAAGCAACTCTTCTTGTCAAACTTTATCAAAAGCTTCACCGAAGTCAAGACAATAATTGTTTACTCTAAAGCATTGTAAATGTAATCTACTAATCGATGACATTGTTGTACGGTTGAATGAAGAGAGAGAGAGTAATAAAATATTTTGGGAAGAGAGCATGCATCATCATCGACCTTGGATGGATGAGCATCCTAGCTTTGATTTTATTAGTCATTATTAAAAAAATATGAGGAAACGATTTTTAAAATTTGAGTTTGGAATTCAAAGATCAGTTTCAAAAGATGTATTTGTATATTTTCTAATCTATCTTTCAGCAATGATCTGATGTATGTATAAGGCTAACAAATTTCAAGGTAGACCTCATTTGGTAGACCTTCAGAGTACCTCAGGTTCATTATCTAGCTCCATGATATTGCACAATCTGTCCAATAAAGATTTAACTATGTAAGTAGCATTTGCATAACATTAATCAGTAAGCAATTTCATACATCAGATTTGTAAAACTATCTTAGTGTCATAAGAATATTGTATGCAATTCATTTTCATTACTGATGTATCGAAATAACTTCACGATGTAATTTTATGAAAACATATCTTTAATTGTTTTTATATAACAGGATGAAAATAATTAAATCAGTCAAGACTTTGTTCAAAAGACATCCACTTATAGCAAACAGTGTGACCTTTGGATCAATGTGGGGATTTTCAGATTTCAGTCAACAAATCATCACAAAGAGATTTTTAGTAAGTTCCAGTTCCAGAAATTGGGATGCTACCTTACCCTAATTTCACTGGTACAATTCACTCTTGTCTCAAAGTTTTCACATTAATAAATTTGATATTTAGATGAATTATGACATGAACTTAATGTAATTTAATTACTTATTTTCCAGGATTGTAAGCAACCTCTAGAACCTATCAACAAAGGAACTATAATTAGATGTACAATCGTTGGATCTTGTGTCACTTCAAATATTCTTTTCTTTTGGTTTGTACACAGATTTGATGAAATAAAGTTTTACTGTATTTCCTAATTGAAAGAAAGCTTTATTGTGTTATTCAAATTGTTCTTATGATGGGAGAATCATGTGAATGTCCACATTTATAAATATATCAATTTAATTAGATTTACATGATGGTTATTATAATTTTGTTGACTATATTTAAGTTAATCCTCCATCAAGCAGGTCTGAAATATTATAAACCTATTTACTGAGAATCGTCAAGAAATAATTATTAAAGAGTAAATAGGAAAAGTTCCTAAACTCAGTGCTGAGCTCGTTGATGGGCACTTAAAATTCAGCAGATTGTTCCTAAAATCTCGATGGATCCAGAAATAGAATTCAGGGCATTCTTTATTCATCTAATAAATCACTGATAGTTCAGCAGGTCCCTGAGGTATTGATGACCGAGTGTGTTGGAGTGTTGCCCGTTCTAGCATCCTCGTGCCTAGCGATGCCGGTTCGAATCTGGCCTGGGAAGGATTGAGTTTTATTTCGTGGAGGCTCCACAAAATGAAACAACCTAAATTCATTTATATTTATATAAGTCCAGCGGTTCCATTAACTTTCCGGATTTAACCTTAATGTTGTTATTTCTTAATTAACTTTACGTATTTATGTTGGGTTTAGTTTATATCTATATTTATTTCAGTTTTAAATGCAATAATTCAGTTAATATATTGCCTTAAATGCATTATTCATTTTTTTATATTTTTCTTGACCATCCAGAAAAGTTAACATTCTTCTAGAATCTAGCAGGTTGTTTGTAACCACAGCATAAATCACAGTCCTTCAGTTCTGGATTCAATCAATTGATGGATTCATTCTATAGAACCACCTTTGAGTTTAGGAACTTGCCCATAACAAAATCGTTCTAATAGTTTTATGTACCAAGCTATCTGCAAATTATTAAATTTTAGTATTTATTCCAGTTTTTCTATCCTTCCAATGACAAATACATTTATTACATTTATAGATATATTTATTTACGTAGCTTTTTTTAAAAATTTGTTTGGGTATAAAATTTAGTTGGAATGATAAGTTTGATTCATATAATGAAAAAACATTTTTTCAACTTTTTTGTTTTTTAAAGAATTTTTATATTTCATACATTAACTCCAGATCATCTCAGAAATATAAAAACCTTATTAACTCAAGATGTTAAAGAGATTACATTGTACTAGTGGATATGTAAATGGAAAATGGTAAAATGAAGTTTTATAAGAATTGCTCAATTTACTAAATTAATTGTCTTGTAAGTTACTAGGTTACATAATATAAAAATGTTTTACATTACTAATTTATTTATGTGTGTAATTATGTTATATTTATTTTAAATATATCATTCATACAAACGCTAACTATTGAATCTGAAAATCAGCAGTATAATATCATTACCAATTCAGCTCAAATAATGAGGATATTTTAATTTTCATACTAATGTGTGGTTTTATGAATGTTTAAAAATTGTATATCCACTCTTAAAAAAAAAAATATTTAATTACAATTATAATCGCTATAGTGCAGGATTGAAAATATTTTTATATTCGTTAGTTAGCATTTATATCGACGGTATATTACTTTAATTTAAAAAATCAATATAACAAATTTTTTATTTCAACTAAATAGCTATTGAGATAGATTTTAATTTCCAGGTATAAATGGATGGAAAAAAGATTTGTTGGAGGCTCTTTCAAAATTTTAGTAAAAAAGATTGTCTTAGATCAATTTGTTCTTACACCACCATTACTTAGTGCTTTCTTCATTAGTGAGTATCATTAAACTTAAATTAACCATTAATTGTAGATTTTTTCAATTTGCTGGGAAGGCTGTATTAATTTTTTTAACAATTAAGAAAACATAAATTACCTTTCATTAAGTCTTTAACGGCAGTTTGATGCTTCAAGATTGTATCCTCATCCTCAGAAATATTTTTCTGAACCCATAAACTTAATTTTTTTTAGTATCAAATTAGAAAATTGGAGGCAATAGCTTTCTCCCGGCATTTTTTACATAGTGAAAAAAAATTATCATACAACATTGGAAACAAGAGTATAAGATATTTCTGAGGGTGGGATGTAATCCTGAAACATCAAAACATCTCCAAATGAAGTTGTTAATAAATGAAACATAGTGTAACTTAATAAATTATCCATTCTGGATTGATAAGCATTTTACTTTAGTTGGTTTATTTGTTGATTTTCAATGATACTCTTTATATTTTTGTGTAAATTCTTAAATTATTATTTCACAATTGATCTGTGTTAATTAAGTTAGTTAAGTTAGTTAGTTAGTTAAGAAACTAATCCTAAAATACAATTGTATACACTCTTCAATAAATAACTTAAGTGAATACAAGTATTTGGAATAATAGGTCTAAAACTGTTTGATCAAATTAGTTTAGTTAAAATAATTGTAATGATAAATTATGCCAGATGAAGAATTTTAAAATAAAGATGGACAAGTCTGTTTTGATTATCGTAAATATGATTTATGTTTAAGGTATGAGCATTCTAGAACAAAGAGAAGACATAACCACTGAATGGAAGGAAAAAATAATTCCTACATTGCAGAAAGCATGGTTGTTTTGGTTTCCTGCACAAATGATCAACTTTCTATTTGTTCCTTCTGTTATGAGAATTACATATATCAGCTGTTGTTCCTTTATTTGGACTAACATTCTTTGTTTTATAAAAAGGAGCAATCCCACTGATATTAAATGCATCACAGATCAAAAAGAGGAATCAGTTATTACATAAAATTCTTTCTTGTCCTTGTGGATTTATGAAGAATAAAAAATAACCAAAGAAACTTTTTCTTTTCAACTAAATCTTGCAAAGTTGGTTTGAGCTTACTCAGATTAAAAAAAAAAAAATTATTGTATTATTTATAAATGAATTAATAACTGTTCACAATAAATTATATTTTGGAAAATGTTATAACTACTTTGTACAAGAAAAATTGTATTTGTTTATAAAAAATGTATGCTTTAATAAAAAAACTTTAAATAAAAGGTATTCATAATAGTTGTAAAAGAATTTTCTATAGCACAGGAGATAAATGCACTAAATAGGATTTCCTCCTCAGTTATGCAAAACTTAAATTTATAATGATACTTTGGTGTACAATTGGATTGATTAAATTTAGGTATTTATTATATAATGATATAAGTAACAATTTAATAGGGTAATTATACTATATATTCCTTTATTAAATTTAATTTGTTAACTAGCTCTTGGGGGCATTTTATTTTTTTGTTATCTTCAATTTTTTTTCTTATTTATTTGTTTGTGTTTCTTAAATTTTTTATTAAAGAATTTTATTAATTTTATAACTAATTATTATATTAATTTTATAATTTCTTTGACTTATTGAACATTATTTATTTGTTGTTGTGTTATTAATTATAAATAAATGATAAACATAAAAGTTATATTTCAATGATGGCTTGGATTTAGTGGACGATAGATGTAATTTCAGAAGTTGGTTGCAGTCAATGAAACCACAGAGCTTATTTTATTCGACCCATTTTGCAGATTGCAGATCAATGCATATCAGATAATATTTACCAGGATGTCTAGATATGTGAAAGGACAAATGACTAGTGACTGGTCTTCAGGCTATTGGAGACTTCAAAGGACGAAAATGGAAACTTCAATGTAAAATCTTGATCACAGTATTTCACATTTAGATTAGAAGGCTTACTTATTAATTTTTTAAAAGAAAAACAGTGTAAATTTCAAAGCAAAATGTTTCAACATAACTTTAGATGAAATAACTATATGTTTGGAGCAAAGATCACCTCAAATGTTAAATATATCCATGTGTAAAATGGGAAAGCAGGAAAAAGATTGGACCGCCACCCATAAAACTGTTGTTGACAAACTAACTCCTAAACTACCATTGCATAATCCTCAATAGCGTTGACTTCATGATAGCTATAGAGTTCCATATTTTCACTGGTTGAATTTATGTTGAGCCAAAGAACATAAAATACAACCTTTAATCCTTCAAAACCCTGATGAAGAATAGTCAGTGACTTAGGAATTATATCCAAGATCCAAGACTGGATGAAGAATGCTATAATTTCATTAAACTTATTGAAGTATATGAAATTCATTTGACAAACATATTCATATGAAAATAATGAAAGTAACATGTTAAAATAAATATGTATCAGTGATTGATAAGTCAAAATTAATTTTATATGCATTGGCTGAGCTTTTATTATAAACTGTCACCCGCAACGCCGCAGATGATGCAGATTGGAATATCTATTGGCCCAGATGAGAATACATATTAGAATGTTGTTATGTTTACAGACGAGTCGCGTTTCTGTATTTATAGCGTTCGTAGGCGCCGAAGACTTATCCCAGAACAGGCGATGGGTAAACAAACTGCTGTAGTTTGTACTTCCTTCAATGCAGTCTAGAGTTGGCAGTGTAATGGTTTGAGCCGGCATCTACTCAGAAGGAGGAACTCTACTCCATATTGTAGAAAGAAGTCTCATCGTAGTTCGTTATGTTCAAGAGATTATAAAGTACATTTCATTAAACCAGGACCATAATGACATAGATTTCCATTTTGTTGACGACAAGAAGCGACCTCTTAGGCGAAAAGTTGTACATTAATATTATGAAAATCTGAACATTTCACATCGGCCTCTTCCCGCATTTTCTCCAGACCTCAATCTAACTGAGCAAATGTGGGATTGCAATGCATAGGCTTTTTGATCACCATTTGCAGCTTCTTAACCTTCGACAACCGAGAGCAGTATTGCCATATTTATGATATGAAATTCCTTGATAAATTAGTGACAACATTACAAATAGTATGCACGATAGATGCAGAGAGGCAGTGCATTATAGAGGATATTACACAATTAATAAATTTTACAAAGCTCTCACAAAATTTTACAAAATCTTTTAATTTTGTTTCTTAAAACACGTTTTGTAAAATTTCAAAATTCAAACAAGGAAGTCAAATAGAATCTTATTTATATAAATTTTAAATGTATTTCACATTAAAAAATCTAGAGAAAATAAATTATTAGTTATATATTACTAACAATGTCCTTATTCATTTTTTAGCCATATATATTGACATTGAGAAACTCCTCAAGACTCTGATAAGAGAGACAGAGCAAATCGGCCTACAAGTAAATAATGACAAAACCAAATTTATAATAATAATCTGAAAACTCCACCCAAATAACAGGATCTGCATAGAAGGGAAATCATCCCTGAGAGTAGAAAAATTCAAACACTTCGTATCCAGGGGGTCCCCACAAGGGGGTTTCATGGCGCAAGTAGAGCCATCACAATTTTTGAGGAGGGCACATTTTGAATTTTTGAGGAGTCAGGTTTTGGCGGAATTATGAATTTTTGGATTGAAAAGTTTCAATCAAGACGACAAAGAGAATACATGGAACAAACCTCATCAAGTGTAATTGTATATCATTTATGGAACTTTTACTTCTAATGTTTTTAGGAAGAGGAGAACAATGAAATATCTTGGAGAGGGAAGGGTGAAGGTTCATGCGCCATCAACCTTTAGGGGAAATGGGGACCCCCGCTCAGATCTACATTAACCTCAGTGAATGATCAAGGGTCAGAAATAGACTAGCGTATAACTAGCACAAATAGAGCTTTCTTCTCCCTTTCAAAGTTATTAAAATTCAGAAAAATCTCAAATTAAGGTTGTATGATGCTATGATGAAGCCAGTTCTAATATATGGCTTAAAGACCTGGATAATTACCAGCACCCTAGACAAAATTATTCAAAGAATTGAGAGAAAAATCCTTCGCACGATAACCGGAGCGATCTGGGATCAGAGTACTAACATATGGAGAAGAAAGATCAATAAAGAGCTGCTTACAGAAACTGGTAAACCAATGCCCCATGATATGAAGGCACGGAGGTTAAGATGAGCGGGGCATTTAGCTCTTAACAATCAATCTTTAGGCCTCTACGTTACAATGAATATCTCAATAAAAGGCTAAAGACCACGTGGAAAGCCAAAAAGCAGATGGATTGATAGAACCAAGGAAGACGTAATTGAGCTACGTGCAGATAACTGTAAAGAAATAGCGCAAGACTGGCAGAGATGGAGCAGGCTTGTTAAGGCGACAAAAGATCTACAAGGTATAATACAAAAAAAATGATATATATATATATATATATATATATATATATATATATATATATATATATATAATAATTATAATGAAATAACATAATATTGAAAATTGATTGTACCAATGTAAAATTCTTCTATCCATTAAAATTTTGCTTATATAATACCGTAACCTCTATTCGATAAAACACGTCCTCTTGACAATTTAACGTGAAGAAACATTTTTCCAAAATTTTACGGTTGCCATTGGATGAGTGATATGTAATGAAACTATTTTCTACTATTGATAGTAATGTAGTGGTTGAACAGTTTTGTAGCGGATAGTAATGTTGTGGTTGAATCTAGTGTTTTTTTTATCTTTTTAATTTTATTCCAAACAACATTGACTAGTGTTGAATAATTGACAGATACTATATAGGATTACCTTAACACCGTTTTGATTGCAGTTTAATGTTGCAGTTTTGCATAATGAATATATTCCATGAGTTTTGCACTAATAGACAACTGGTCAGCTGGAAATTGCATGGGGTTTCCTATAGATATAAGATGAATTCAGTAAGACTTGGTACTTGTGTTCTTAGACCTCCCAACAGATACATAAATTTAACAGAGAGTAATGATGTGGAAACGATTTTTTTTTCTTAACTTCGAGGCTTGGAAACGGGGGCTGCGATAATATCAAAAGTTAGGAGTTGGTTTGAAAGTGAAGTGTAGACTTGAGAGTTCCATCTAGATAAGTATTGTAAGTATCTTCAAACATTTAATTTTTTTTTTATTATAGTGTATCGATTATTAAAATTGTATTGTTTAATTCTGTTTTTTGAAGAAAAAAATCAACTAATAATTAAATAATAATGGTTTTTCTGCAATGTCCCAAATAATTATAGTCATGTTTTCACCTGTCACAGGTCTGATATCTTAAAATATTAGATATATAAGCAATGTCAAAATACCAAAACACCCTATAAAGAATTCGGAGGTTTAAGATTTTGAACGAACGAATATTTAATATTTTTTAAATTATTACTATTACTTCCTGGTATTCCTTAGGTGGGACTTAAGGCCTTTACAAAGTTCTGCCAGGCATCTCAATCTTTAGCCAGCTCCTTGACACCAGACCAGGTCTGCTCTACGTTTCTCTAGGCCGTCCGCATCTTCGATGGCCTTGAGGATTCCTCTCCAGACTCTGCCCTGTTATACCGCTGTGCTCATTTCTAAGCGTATGCCCCACTCATTTCCATTTCTTGATGAATTCCATTTCTTCGTGAATTCCATTCCAGGACTTGATTAGTTCGCAACCAGAACTCGGTATTAGAAGTTGTTTCAGGCCACCATACTCGCAATATATTCCGCAGATATTTATTAACGAATGTCTGTAGTCTCTTGGTTACCTGTTTGTTAAATTTCCAACTCTTGCAAGCATATAGCAGAACCGACATGACATTTGTTTGAAGATGCGAAGTTTGAACCTCCTCCTGATTTCTTGAGATTTCCACTGGCCAAAGCTGCGAAAATGTTTTTTGGGGTTTCCTCTATACGACTCCCAACATCATCAGCCGCTCTATTCTGACCATACTCCTAGCATTCTCCATTCTCCTAGCATACTCCTAAGATAGCAAAATTTAGTAACCCTTTCTTTTATTTGATCTTCTATAATAATTTTTTCTTGATACCTACTATTCATTCGCATCTCTTTTAGTAGCATTTATTTTGAGGTCGCCACCTTGAGCATCCTTCTGGAGTTCATTTAGTTTCTCCTATATATCTCTGAAACTTTGGGAGAAATAACATAAGTAATCCATTAGTCCAGATCTTCGAATCTTTCAGTCAGCCTCCACTAAAGACCTCGTTCTCCACGAAAAGCTCTGCTTAAAATGA